TATTATATTTTTAATCCTCACTCAAGGACATGCTTTAATTGATTTTATTATTAGTTTTTGCTTTAATTGATTTTAGAGAAAGTGGAAAGGAGAGAGAGAAACATTGATATGAGAGTAAAACATCCATCAGTTGCTGTCTGCATACTCCCCAACCCATGACTGAACCTAAAACTTGGGTATATGCCCTGACCAGGAATCGGACATTTGACCTTTCAGTGTATGGAGAGGCTCCAATCAACTGGAGCCACACAGGCCAGGACTGGAGATTTCTTTTCTAAATATGAATTAAATTTTGCTAATAATTATAGGACTATTCAAATTGTTTATTTTATGTTGGGTGAGTTGTGGAATTGGCCCATTTTGTCTGAGGTCTCAAATTTATGTATTTAGAATTATTTATGTTATTCCCTCATTATCCTTTGATGTCAGCATGGTCTATGGTGATACCAACTGTTTTAGCCCTAATACAGATAATTTTGCTCTTTTCTCTTTGTCAGTCTTGCTAGAGGCTTGTTAATTTTATCAATCTTTTCAAAGAATTAGTTTCTGTTTTATTGATTTTTGTTCTTTTTCATTTTATTGATTTCTGCTATTATATTATTTATTTCAAACTGTTTGCTTTGGATTTATTTTGTTCCTTCATATAGACATGGATGTCTCTTTCTCAATGAGAGTTTAGATGATAGATTGGATACATCTCCTTTTGTCTAACAAGCATTTAGTGCTGTAAAAGCCTCTTCTTTAGCAGAATCCATACCTTTTGATATGCTGTGTTTCCCTTTTCAATCAGTTCAGTTTATTTTCAATTCATCTTGAGATTTCCATTTTGATTTATGGATTATATAGAGATGTGTTTGTTTAGTTTCTAAGTGTTTAGAGATTTTCCTGTCATTTTCAGGCTATTGATTTCTCGTTTGATTTAATTGTGATCAAATACATACTCTGTTTGGCTCCAATTCTTTGAAGTGATTTTAGGTTTGTTTTATAGCCCAGGATCTTGTCTATCTTGGTATATGTTCCTTGAGCAAATAAAAGCATGTGTCTCCTCCTTCATTCTTGAGTGGAGGAATATGAATTTTGATTATATCCTACAGTTGGGGCTTAAAGTTCTTTCATATTTTGCTGATTTTCCAAGTAGTTGTTCTATCATTTGTCAAAAGAGGTGTGTTGAAGTTTCTGGTTGCAATTGTACATTTGGCTATTTCTCCTGTCAGCTCCATCAGTTTTTATTTTACATATTTCTTAGCTCTGACATTTGGATGATATGAACCTAGGTTTGCTAAGTCTTCTTGATGAGTTTACACTTTTCTCATTACGTAATGTCCTTTTCTGTCCCTAGTGATTTTCTTTCTTTTTTTTTTTTTAATATATTTTATTGATTTTTTACAGAGAGGAAGGGAGAGAGATAGAGAGTTAGAAACATCGATGAGAGAGAAACATCGATCAGCTGCCTCCTGCACATCTCCTACTGGGGATGTGCCCGCAACCCAGGTACATGCCCTTGACCGGAATCGAACCTGGGACCTTTCAGTCCGCAGGCCGACGCTCTATCCACTGAGCCAAACCGGTTTCGGCCCTAGTGATTTTCTTTACTTTGATGTCTGGTTTACACAACCACTCCTACTTTGTTTTGTTTAAATTTTGATGATGTATCTTTTTTATCCTTTTACTTTCAAACTTTTTATCTCATATTTGAAGTGGTTTTCTTTTATTCACTTATTTTTATTTATTTTTCTTGAAAGAGGAGAAAGAAGATAGGCCTGAATTTAAGAAGTGAAGCTAATTTTTAAAAATTAGGAAAAGAAAAGGGCATTAGAGGAAAAAAAATTGAGTAGTGAAGAAGGAGAAAAGAGAAGAAGTATAGTGGTTTTCTTTAGGTATCACATACGTGGGTCATTTTTTATCCATCTGCCAATTTCTTTGTCTTTAACTGGGTGTATTTGACCATTTGCACTTAGTGTAATTATTGATATGCTATGGCTTACATCTGCAGTTTATATTTTCTTTTCAGCCGTTCCTTTTTAATTTCATTGTTTCTCTCCCTCTGTTTTCTTTTTTAACTGCTTGTGGATTACTTGTAGAATTCTATTTTGATTCATTTATAGTGTTTTTAATTTTATCTATCTAAAATATTTTAGTGATTGTTCTATGTATTACAGTCATGTATCTAATTTATTACAGTTTACTGATGTCTGCACTTTGCTAATTTGAGTGACATGCAAAACATTCATTCATATCTCTTCACCTTACCTTACCTGTTTACCATGTAACTGTCTGGAATATTCCCACTACATGCATTGATAACTATATCAGACAGCATTATAATTTTTACTTGAACCATTAAACATAATTTAGAAAACTCAAGAGGAGAAAAAAATATATATTTTTTTCATAAGGGGACATATGCGAGTAGCTCCGTAAAAATTGAGGGATCAATGCTTGGTGAATTTTTTTTTTTAAGGGAAATAATGCTCTGGGGACAGGATTTCCATGTGACTGCTGAATTAAGGAGGCCACAGACCCTTTAAAACCAACAGTTTCTTGCTTCCTGCAGTGAATGCAGAACGGGTCCTGGATGGTGCTTCTGGTGACAGATGGTTACTATGTTCACAGTGAACCCCACTGACCAGCGCAGATTCCAAGGACTGACAGACAGGGAAGGCGGGTTCTCCCTGAATTTCCACCAGGAGGGAGTCCCCAAGCTTAATCTTCCACCAGAGTTAACAGAGGACATCCCTGGGGAGTCTCCTTCCCATAACCCGGACTCGTATTAATGGCTGCTTTTTTATCACAACCGCTACCCCCGTGGCGCACACTCCCTCACTCTAAGGGCACTTCCTCTACAGGGGTCCAGCCACGTGGTTCAGGTGAGGTGCTGGAATGGGGATGTTGCCTTCCTCCCAGGCCAGGCCAGGCCAGCAGCAGCTGCCCTGAGTACTGTAGCCAGGATGGGGACAGTGCAGAAAACTAGAAAATGTAAAGAATGCTGACTGGTCAGGGAAGCAGCTGGCAGAAGCCCAACAGGCCTTACACATGAGATTTTAGCCAATCAGAAAAAGGAGTCTAAGCTGACAACCCTGTTGCTAGTAGAGAGTCTGTGTGAAGAGGCCTGTCAGACCCGGGAATCCCCAGGCCTGACGCAGCCTCCACTGCACAGCCCAGAACAGAGCAGAACCGAGTGCACAGCCCAGAGCAGAACTGATGGAATTTCCCCCCCCACGACAGGAGGGAGGTGGTGGGCCAGAGGCCTCTGCTGATTCTGAGGGACCCTGAGGTGGGGGCTTAGGGCACTGAGGCACCTTCACGTTCCATCTCTATTCTTCCTTGTCCCCCAGCCCCATTCCAGGTCTGAGTTGGATGTTCCTCCCTTATGCTTCAACCCTGACTCTGGAGTGACCCTGACCCTGACCCACCACTGCTGGTTGGAGCCCAGGGCTGATCCCCTGGCTCAGGGGCTCCAGAGAGATGCACTCAACAGAGAAATCGGAACCAGCTCACAGCCTCCACGTGCCACTAACGCCACCTCTTCTTGCTGCCTTCTCCCTGCTTCTTTTACCTGATGAACTCCTTATATTCTGTTTTCAGATCCTGTCCTAAAATTTAAAAGGAGAACCTAAAATGTAGGAGAGAGAGAGGGAGGGAGAGAGAGAGAGAGAGAGAGATAGAGAGAGAGATAGAGAGAGAGATTGAGATCCTTATTGTCTTGTTTATTAATGTTTGCCAGGCATCGCCTTAATTGCTCTATAACCATTCAGTACTACCCCTAGTCATGAGCAAGAGGAGTCTGATAAATAATATATTTATTAAAAAACACATCAATAGGTCTGCCTGTGGGATTTGATGCTCAGGGGCTACATAGTATGAGCTGTGAGTGTGAACACCTGCTCCCTCAGTCACACGGTGCAGGCCCCAGGGTGCTTCTCCATGTCTTTGCTCTCTGTCCTGAAGCTGCAGGTACCTGTGTCCTGTTGATGTGAATGTTTGTGGTTGTGCCTTTGTGACATCAGATGGACCAGGGAGGACTGAAGCAGCCAAAGAGCTTAGAAGAGAAAAATCAACCTCAATGTAGAATCTGCCTCAGAATATCCCCTGGACAGGTGCAGGAGCAGGGGTATTTATTTTACTCGTTCCTTAGCCTTCAGGTACTCCACGGCCATTAAACCCCAGCTCTGTGGCTGGCCCCAATGGCAGGCTGAGAAAATCCTCACATGGAGAGTTTTAAGAGTTTGCAATAGGCTGCATCCAACAAACAAACAAACAAACAAACAAGAAAAAGAAAAATCATCTTAATTTTCAAAGACTTGCATTCAAAGAGCACAAATGCAGTAGGTTCTCTCATAAGGAAGACTCACTGGCCAGCAGGGCTGGTGTCATTTTGTGTGTGATGTTCCCAATAGCTACACATGCAGCAGAGAGGAACACTTTGCAGTATCAGAGCAGTCATATTGCTGTGAGTGTGTGTGTATGAAGGTGCAGATGTAAAATGCATGAAACTTGATCCACATTTTCCAAAGAGAAGCCTGAGGCTACCAGAGGTTGAGTAACTTGTTGTCTCATAAAGTGCATTCGAGGTAGAGCTGCAGCTCAAAACCATTCCTCTCAGGGCTCTGTTCTTCCCACCAGGACTTCAGGCTCCCGGAGTGTTTAAGATATAGGAGGGAGCATCTCCTGACAATGATTTTCTCTCCCTGATACATGATCCCCACTTATTTCCCCTCCTAAAAATCTCAAGTGTAAGAATATCACAAAGGTTTTAACTGAATATCACAGAGATGCCCACTCTTGAATCACCTTTCTCTCTTGGTTCTTTAATTCCCAAGGCATTCACCTTCTGTAACTGAGAGAAAGGCTTCAAATGCTCATCCAGAGCAATTCGATGAAGGCTGGGTTCCAGGCACTGGCTAAGGAACCTCCATAGAAAGCATCTGCCCGGAGACAGATGAGGTGGGCCAGCTCCAGTGCTGATTGGCTGCTTTCCTGGGGACTCTCCAGTCTGACCCTGAGTGGCAGCTCTCACAGGTTTTATTCTCTGAAGTGTCTGCATCAGCCATCAGGTGGAGCGGGCTCACTCCCCTTACTTCTTCCTTTGTCTCCATCATGTCTGGGAAGCCGGCTCTGCGGGCCCCCGGAGGCCCCTGGACAGCAGCTGTGATGGTGTGGCTGGTGGCGCTCAGTGTCCCAGGGGCTGAGGGCGGAGACTCTCCACGTGAGTGCAGGGCAGCTGCCCCACCGCCAGCCCAGGATGGGCTCTGAGGGACCCGTGGCTGGGGCGTGGGGGGCTATGACCTGAGAACAGTCTGTGATCAGCATTTCCTCTTTGGGAAAGGGAGCTGCTACGTTCTCATGTCCGCCGTCTGGTGATAAGGCGAGGACATGGCCATCTCAGGGGCTCCAGCCTGGGGATGTCCCAATGGGAGGGAAAAGACTGGCCACTGCCAGTGACAGGAAAATGGTTATTTTTGAAGAAAAAATTTTCTCCAAAGAAGAGACAGTAGGACTTATATCCAAGACCTTGTCTGGATTAAAGACTAAGGGGCTCTGGTTGGGGAACCGTGTGGGGCAGGTCTATGGTGTCAGATTTGGGGGAAAGGGCTCCCTGTCCTGAGTCTGAGCAGAGGGCTGGCAGCAAACCCTGGCATCCGGGCAGCTGACCTGGTGCCACAGGCAGGGGCTCAGCTTCCTCCCAGGACTTGGGGTCACACAGTGAGGGGGTGGGATTGGTCAGTTGATGGGGGAGGGAACTGAGGAGAAAGGGAAAGTGAAGAGGGGATGACATGCTGAGAAGCCGTTTATTTCAGACAGGATTCTGTCTCCATGTAAACTCTGTCAGGCTTCCCACCACCCCTGGTGTAGGTGTCCTTGTCTTTCTACACAATTACCTTTATGCTGTGGGTGCTCTGGGCAACCGCCCGAGCTGGCCGTTGGCACAGCCCCCCTGGGACCTAGCTGATCTAACTCGGAAGCCTGTGCCCTTTCCATGAGGAGCCTCCCTTTCTGGGGTTGGAGGGGTGGGTCCCTGGGACAGCACTGTTGGGGGGAAGGTCTGTGCCAGACTGAGTGGGGGAGGGGCGAGAGCGAGCCTGTGGGGCGAGGACGCTGGTTCCGGGCTTTCGGTCGTTGCTCCCTGGACTCTCAGGCCTGTGGTCACTGGTTTCTGAGGTTCCGGATTCCGTGGGAAATGGGACCTCGGGGGAGGGCGTCCTGACTGCTCTAAGGAGGGGCCTGGATGGGAGATCCCGGACCCACTCCCAGCCCCTGTCAGGCTCAGGCGGGATCCAGGCCCAGGGCGTCCAGGAAACTCTGTCCCCTCCCTACACGGGACAGTTCCCGGGGCCATGCCTGGGCGGGGTGGGAGGGGTCAGCAGGAAGCAAGGTCTAGGGGGACTGCAGGTCTGTCAGCTGAGGAAGGTCCCTGGCACTGGCGCTGGCCCTGGGCCGAGGCCTGACGGGCGGCTCCCGCAGGGGACTTCGTGTACCAGTGTAAGTTCCTCTGCTACTTCACCAACGGGACGCAGCGCGTGCGTCTGGTGTCCACCTACATCTACAACCTGGAGGAGTTCGTGCTCTTCGACAGCGACGTGGGGGAGTTCCGCGCGCTGACCCCGCTGGGGCGGCCGGACGCCGAGTACTGGAACGGCCTGAAGGACTTCCTGGAGGAGCGGGCCTATGTGGACACGCTGTGCAGACACAACTACCAGATTGAAGCAGGCACGACACTCCAGCGGCGAGGTGAGCCCCGCGCCCTAACCACCCCCCCCTTTCCCCTTCCCCCTCCCCCGCACAGCCCAACCAGTCTCTGTGAGGCCTTTGGGACCCAAGCTCAGCCTTGGTGGAGACAGGGAGCAGGGGCGGGACCAAGGGGGGACCAAGGGCAGAACTGAGGGGGACCAAAGGCACCACCAGCACAGACCCCTCAGCCCCTCACGTCCCCAGGAGTCTGCCCAGCCTGCCCAGTGGGCCCGCAGCGTCTGCTCCTCTTCCCACCCATTCGGCACCTCCCTGACGCAGGTGTGCTTGGGTCCTTGTCTCTCACTTTGCCAGAGCTGGCCCTGTGCCCCGTGCCCCCGTGTCCCTGTGCCCCATGTCCTCATGTCCCCGTGTCCCATGTCCCTGTGCCCTATGTCTCTATGTCCCTGCGCCCCGTGCCCTAGCACTCTGCGCGCTGCTGTGAGCTGTCAGCAAGGCCCACCTCCAGTTTAACCGCCTAGTCACGCAGTGGTTCTCAACCTTCTGGCCCTTTAAATACAGTTCCTCATGTTGTGACCCAACCATAAAATTATTTTCGTTGCTACTTCATAACTGTAATGTTGCTACTGTTATGAATCATAATGTAAATATCTGATATGCAGGATGGTCTTAGGCGACCCCTGTGAAAGGGTCGTTCGACCCCCAAAGCGGGCGGGACCCACAGGTTGAGAACCGCTGGCCTAGTGGGTTCGGAACCCCAGGCTGCCTCCAGGGCCCCGCGCACACATGCAATATTTCACAGTCGTGACGAATTATGTTATGGTTCTTTGGTGTCAAATTATTATTCATGTGAATTCTGTTTTCCTAAATGTCTGTCGCTAGTCCTGCACCTCTTTTAGCAGCGACTGTCAGGTATGTTTCTGGGCCTCAACCTACACATTCCCTGGCCAGTGAGCTCACTCAGCCTTTCTGAGATGAATGAGTACATTCTCAGCCGCCACCACTGAGGCTCAGTATAAAACAGAAGGGCAAGTACAGCCTTAAAAGTGACTTTATTATTTGTGCTATTTTACTTAATGCAGTAAACTCTTGTTGACTTGGATCTTAATTTAGAATTTGTGAATGCGAAGTCTGAGGAAAAAAGTGTTTGTTAAAAAGCAAAACAACACTTCAGTGGTTTATAAGGCAGAATTTTTTTTTCTTAGAAAGTTCAACAAATGGCGCAATAGAGCCGAAGTTTTGAAGTAAATAAAGTGATGCTATTAAATGATTGAATAAAAATTGTTTCAAGTTTCTTTTGACTTAGACCCTGCCTCCCTCCCCCCAGAATCACCATCCATTCAGGAATAGATACTGTGAATGTTAATTATAGCCATTCAATGAGCATTTATTTCTTGACAATTACCTTACCAAACACCATCTATATTATGCTATTTAATTTCACAACTACTTGTGTGTTAGGAGTTAGCATGACCATTTTAATATGCTAATATTGGTACATAATAAACACTTGAATTAATTAGCCCAGTTGCTCACTACACAGAAGTCATTGTGTTCTGTATTGCTTGTGTATACTACATGTATATAATGGAAGCATAGCCTCATTAAAGCACTTATGACCAGAAGGAGCAAAATGAGTCTGTTCTTGCCTATTTTCAATGTTGGTGGGGATGGAAAGTTCACTAGTGAATCCCTAGTCTGGCCCCAGTGTTACCTGCACATGTTCACATAACTTTTGCTGACTTTACATACTCTCACCTTCTGACCCACATCCCAATGCCACCAGTGCTTATATTTTTGCTATTTCAGGTCTATTTTCATAAAAATTATTCTAACATTTTTCTTATGAATTCGTGCCCATTTTTTTTTACTCCCAATCTGTCTAAACTGACAGATTTTGTAAATCCAGCTAGCTGACCATGCTTTTAGTCAGTCCCCAGGAAGGAGAACCTGACAAGAGTCTAAGTGTCTAAGGCTGGTGTGGCTCAGTGGTCAAGCATTGTCCCATGCACTGGACAGTCATGGGTTCAATTCCCAGTCAGAGCACAGGCTCAGGTTGTGTCTTCAATCCCTGGTTGGGGTGCATGCAGGAGGAACCGATCAATATTTCTCTTCTCCTTTCCCTTCTCTCTCTAAAAAAAACCCAAAACACAACAAAATCAACAAAAACATATTTAAACACACACGTGAACTATTTAGTATAGTTTCACACTGTGGGAATAAGGGAGATGCAGTAAGATGACAGGAGAGGTGAAGGATAAGATGTGTAAATAGGGAGGAAGAGGTCTGTTGTATTTGACCACACGAGGCAATCTGAGATGATAAAGGAATCAAGACATGGACAGATGTGATGTTTATCAGTGTTACTTGTTTTCAAAGTTCTCTTTTCCTTCAAAAATTACAAAGTTTTGAAGTAACATTTATTTTGTTGTCTCTGCTACTAGATTGCAAGTTCTATAAGGGCAGGGACCACGGTCTGTTGTTTATCTTTCTATGCCTAGTGCTTGTGGAATTTATATTTGTTGAATGAATGAATAAATGAATCAGTGAATGGATAAACATAGGTGGCATAGATGACATGGACATGAAGTTTATTATTTAGCCAGAGGCCTTATGCAGGAAATTCATGCAAGGGGCTCAGCCATTGCGGCCCCAGCGTTGCCCGGAAGTTCATTTGGCCTTCTGGTATAATTAGCATATTATGCTTTTATTATTATAGATAATACAATTTAATGGGAGTTTGCCACAGAATGGCATCTGAGCTGGGTTAGGCTAACAGCTGAGAGGGGTTCGTTGCTGGGTGACATGTGAGAAGTGCTCCTATCCTTAAATCCTGTCCGTGTTTCCTGCTGAGAATGGTTGGGAAGAGCCTGTTTGAGAGCATTGCTTCAGAAGAAGGATGTGATGGTCACTGCTGTCCTGCTCTGTTGGACATAGAACTGTCTATAAAGTTCCTAATTCTCAGTCCGTGTTACTGTTCCTGGAACTGTGACCAGTGCTGATGGTCTCATGCCCCCGGAGACTCAAACTGATATATTTTCTCCACTGTGAGGAGCTGTGGGACTAACAGATAACAGGGTCACTGCCCTGGTGTGAGTCCCTAGAGCTGATCCCCAGGGTCACCATCAACAGGTGGAGGGAAAAGAAGTCCAGGTTTATCATCTTTATTTAAAAACATTGTGAATAGTGGCCTGTATAACCTAGCAATTTAAACATTTAAAGGCTCCATTTTTATCAGTTGGTATCAACAGAATATCTCCCATTAAATGATTGCTATTAGCTCTTGACTCTGAAAAGTTAACTGACTCATGTGTTTACTCGAGCTAATCAGTGGCCCAGCTCGGGTCCTCATCCCGGACTCGGAATCCAGGGATCTTTCCCGCTGGTTCCACCTCCTAGGCATCCACTGGGGAGACTTGCCTGTGCCCCCACATCTCACTCCGTCTTTTTCTCTCTGTCACCCCTCCCCTGCCAGTGGAGCCCACAGTGACCATCTCCCCGGCCAGGACAGAGGCCCTGAACCACCACAACATGCTGGTCTGCTCGGTGACGGATTTCTATCCAGCCCACATCAAAGTCCGCTGGTTCCGGAACGACCAGGAGGAGACAGCCGGCGTCGTGTCCACCCCCCTGATTAGGAATGGGGACTGGACCTACCAGATCCTTGTGATGCTGGAAATGACCCCCCAGCGAGGAGACGTCTACACCTGCCGCGTGGAGCACCCCAGCCTCCAGAGCCCCCTCACAGTGGAGTGGCGTAAGGGGCAGTTTCTTTCCTGCACCCTGGGCCCCACAGACAGAGGGCAGACAGCGGCCCCTGGCCATCCCATCGCATCCCTAACCCTGATGTCTCTGCTGAGCTGGACATCACAGGATGCTAGAGACCTCTGGTGCCATGGCAGGGGCATCAGATCTCATGGTGTTTCCAGACACTAGGGAGGTCACTCTACACCATGCATGTGGGGACTGGTGATGGGGCTTGGGGTCCAAGGTTAAAGATGCATGTGAAGGAGCAGGACCCACTTCTTCCCTGTCATCACCCACAGTGTCCAAGGGTTTATTGGCTGGTCCCACTCCAGGGGTGGCGGCTTCCAAAGGGTCCCTGTGGGTTTGGGGACAGAATCTGATACCCAGGCTCTGCTCCCCAGGGGCACAGTCTGGATCCGCCCAGAGCAAGATGCTGAGTGGTATTGGGGGCTTCGTGCTGGGGCTGCTCTTCCTGGGCCTGGGCCTTGTCATCCGTCACAGGAAACAGAAGGGTAAGCAACTCGGGAAACGGGAGGATGGGCTGTGCCCGGGACCCTCCGTTGAGGGAGCCTCTGCTTCTAGGTGTAACTCTCCTCCTGACCTGGAAGGCAGGAGGCCGGGCTGTTGGTGGGAGGAGACAGACAGCTAGGCCAGGCCTTGGACTGGATTTTACTGGATGAAAGGCAGCCCTGCCACAGGCGTGACTGTGGCGAGAGTCCTGGGGCTGAGAGTCATCACTGTCTCGCTGGCCCCTTTCTAGAAGCTGCTTCTTTAAGGTCAGAGCATTGGCTTCCCTGCCTTCTAGTGTTGGGTCCATTCATTTGGGGCAGTGGTTCTCAACCTGTGGATCAGGACCCCTTTGGCGGTCGAAATAACTCTTTCACAGGGGTCGCCTAAGACCATCCTGCATATCAGATATTTACATTATGATTCATAACAGTAGCAACATTACAGTTATGAAGTAGCAATGAAAATAATTTTATGGTTGGGTCACAACATGAGGAACTGTATTTAAAGGGCCAGAAGGTTGAGAACCACTGATTTGGGGGATTGTAGCTTAGGGGTTAAAGCCTTGTGGCTGATGGGTAGCGGGAAATACATTTCCAGTTAAGTTGCTTATTTCATTTCCTGTGGGTGGGAGAGGGACTGGCTGTGTGATGAGACCTTTCTCTGTGTAAAGTCCTTTTGTAGGATCTCATGGGCCTGTACCCCAGGTACTCCCTCTGCTCTGATTTAATAGGTGGGGGGATGGCGAGGGGGAGAAGGGGCGAGAACAGGAAAAGGAGAAAGCAGCATGAATTGAGTGTTCCTGGTCACAAAGGTCTAGGTTCTTGGCCTATTCCCTGCCCGGGGATCAAGGGTTAGGGGAGAAGCTCACCCAGTTTCTGAAGGAAGCTCTGGGCTTGTTATCTACTAGTAGAACTGGGGTTTAACTTTGGTGAATCTTTCTGTGAAACGTGGAGCCAGAGCCACATCTTGGGTGGTAGGCACAGGGATGATGCCCAGTTTGTGCCACATGCTGGTGGCTCCTGCCTGTGGGCATTTATAAGTGACTCCTAGTGGTGGAAGGAAGGTTAGTTTCATTAAATTTGCTGAAAAGATTGAAATGCTCATACTCCCCACGGGATAACAGCTGTTCCCCTGCCTCCTGCATGTCTGCATGAGGCTGAAGTATGTGTCATCTTCATCTGATTTCACCCCGACACCGATATTGGGGGAGGTGATGACCTTATGTGGAGACCTCAACTTTACCTGATGCTGCAGGGCCCTGAGATGAGGGGACAGGTATGTCCCCAGGTGCTGGGTGCTGATCACTCTCTCTTCTACAGGGCTCCTGCACTGACTCCTGAGGGTACTGTGACTGGGATTGGCTGTGTTTCTTCTGAAATGCCTGCTTGTTGTCCTCGCACAGAATTCCCAGCTGCCTGTGAGCCTGCTCCCTCTGAGATCAGAGTCCTAGTTGCTCTGAGGCAGTCGGCCAGGCATCTGCTGTGACCCCCCTCGAGGCAGCTGTGAGCTTGGAGTCTGTCCTGTGGGCTGCCATCTGAGTCTACTCAAGGCCCCCAAGGCATTTTTCTTTTGTGCCTACACAGCCCCCCGCACCGCCTCCCCCCCCCCCCGCCCTCACTGTCCAAGAGAAGCACATTAAAGCCTTTACCTGACTCCAGAGCTTTTATCATAATTAAACATGTTACCTGTATCCTGAGCCTTCTTAACTGGGTGGAGGCAAGAAGTCACTGCAGAATGAAAGGAACATGTTTTGCTCCTTGAGGGAGACTAGAGCATCTTGGGGTGCTGTGATAAACGTGGGCAGAGGGAACAATTCAATCGTCCTCCGTCCTGACTCTTTGGTATTGATGTTCAGTGCAGTGGCCTTAGGAAGTGCCGGCCTCTCTTCCAGCCTGGTGGGTAGAGTGTATGTCAGCATGGAGGAATTACCTGGGCCCCGGTATAGTGGCCCCTGGTGTCTCAGAGAACCAAACTGATGTCTCAGATGTCTTGTCAAGTCATATTTATGAAGGTCAATTTTTGTTTTGGGAAAAGTAAAACCAGCAATAAAAGTAATGTTCTTGGTTCCAAATGATTGAAAGTTTGGCAGTTTGTTCATGTTACAAGGAAGCCTGGGGTCAAGTTGATTTCAGAAGAGACTGGATCCAGGTATTTTATGATGTCTTCGTCTCTCCTCTTTCTGTTATAACTCTATCTAGACACCTTTTCTCTCTTTTCCTGTATCTCTCTTTGTTCCTGTATATTTTTTTCAGTGTGTCTCTCTGCATCTTTTTCTGTCTGTCTATGCATCCCTCTGTCTCTCACTCTTTCATTGCATCTCTGTCTCTATTTCTAGCTACACCTCTGCCACCATTTGCCTGCATCTATTGACCTCTCTGTGTTTCTGTTTCTTTTTGCATCTCTACTCTTTTCATCTCTCATCACTGCACAACTTATCTTTGTTTCTGTGTATGTGTGTGACTGCCTGTCTCTGTTGTGTGTCTCTAGAGTGTCTACCAAAGTTTGAACAATTTTAGGAAAGATTCTGGTTGACCACCCCTTAATAACATGCACACCTCTCAAAAACATCATGTGCATGGATGCAGACAGCCTTCCGTTCACCCCTATAGTAGGAACATAGGCTGGACCTTCCAGATCTTGGTGATGCTGCAATGACTGCCCAGTGTGAAGGTGTCTACACCACCAGGTGCAGCACCCCAGCCTCCAACCCCATCACTGTGGAGTGTCATAAGGGGCAGTTTGTTTCTGTGGATCCAGGAGATGAGTGGTAGAGTTTCCTCTGCTCCTTGGGCACATTGCTGGAAATGTTGATTCACACCCATCTCACCCCTTGTCTCCTGTAGTCACTTGATGGCACTGCTGAGCTCGAATTCCCCAAGGATAGAACTTTCCTTGTCTGTGAATATAGTGACTTGTTGATTCCTGTTGATATTCTCTTCCCAGGTGTTAAAGAGGTCCCTACACACTGAGGCTCCCTTGACATGGGCCAGCACAGAAAGCTGGTCTCCATCTCAGTCTCTGGGTTTGTTATACGGCCAGCTGGCTGAGAGCTTGTCTTTGAGATAATGGAAGGCTTCCCCTCCTCCCTGCTCCCTCACCCACTCATTGGGCCTGAGGAGCCAATGGTAGCTCCTTCCCTCTCCTGGATGAAGTCAGAATGGAGAACAAGGCTTTTCTGGGGTCCATTGTCTTCTGTACCTCAGGCTGCAATGCAGGTCATCAGACATGGGCACTGTGAAGGTGTGGGCAGATACACTTTGGAGGATTCTGCTCCCCAAGGTCATAGTCTGAATCTGCTCAGAACAAGATGCTGAGTGGTCAGAGGTTTTGTGATGGTTTTGTCATCTTCCTCAGGGTGGACATTGACATTTATCAAAGGAGTCAAGAGGGGTGACACTTAGGGAAATGGGGGGCACTTGTGTGGGTTTCTAGGGAGCCCTTATTCTCTAAATGTAGCACTTTGCTTTTGACAAAGAGAAGAGGCAGGGCTGGACACTGAACCTGACCCAGAGTTCAGGCAGACATTGAGATCTGACTTTTCTAGTTGAAACGTAAGCCCTCTTATAAGGTAAGTGGTAGAGTATATGCTAGGGCATTCTTATGGTTCCACACTGCCACACTGGCCCCACGCTGGGAGATTCTTTTTAATGACAGAGTCAGGGTCTTCTTCCCTTTCAGTGACAGCTTCATAGCAACAAGTATTTTTCTTTTTCTTTTTTGCACCAAGATTTCATTGTGTAATATAATCTTCAATAATTTAATCAACATAACAGTACATCCTTTATAAACAAGTTTCTACAAAAAGAGCTCAGTTTTAGTAGGCGTACATCTTGGAGAAATATATGGGTGTGCTAGAGAAAATCCTGTTGATGTTTACCCTGTGGCTTTATCCTCCATCATATCACTCAGTATGCCTTTCAGTGGCAGTGGCATTCATTAACATTCCATAGCTTATGCAAATTTCCCAGATTCCTCTGTGGTTCGTGTGGAATCATGTGACTAGTACCAGCCAGTAGAACTTGAAAGTGGGTGTTAGATGTGTCTACTTTGTCTTTCTCTGGAAGCCATTGTTGAGGTGATGGTGTACAAGATGTTGGAAACTTCATAAGCCGAGTTCCTTGAATGTTTGTAGAATTGAGTCCTCTTTATTGAGTTTAGGCACCAAGATTAAATTTCTACTGCAGGTTAATATCTTACTGCAACATAACCTTGCCTCCTGACTACCTGGGCATGTTTAACTTAAGGAACAGAGTTCATAAGTGAATAGGGTGAGACAGTTGAGTTAATGGAATTTAAGAGATGATAAAGTTTTAAAAAACATTTATTATTTTGTTTTCTTCCACACCCAAAATATATGTATTCCCAGTGACTAGAACAAGTGTTTCTGTAGAGATGCTGTCCTGATCCACCTAGTCTCCTCCCTTCAGTACTGAAGGATTTATTCCCTCAGTTGCTGGCTGACAGTCCTCAGCTCTCAGCCCTCCTCCAGAGTTGCCTTAGGTGAGGATGGCCAACTTGCCCAATTTCAGCCCCCTTTCCAGGGGAACTCTCCAGTGACTGCTCAGTGTGGGGCTGTAGAGGTCCCGAGCCTCACCCTAATTTGGGTCAACTCTGAAGGGCTCCTGAAGCTTCAGAACTCCCTCGAGATTTGATGAGGATTTTTTTGGAATGAATAATAGTCCAACTTCTAAAACTCTGCTTAAATCATGAGTCACCTTACATCATCCTTCTTTCAGTTACTATTTTAATTTACATGTACTTATTTTTGTATCTTCATCCCTTAAGTATGGCCTTCTTGGAATATGAAGGTATTGACATCACTGCTCTTCCTTCCTCATCACCTATAAGCTTCCACTTGACAAACTGAGGTACCTGCACTTTTAAAAATATTGTCAAAATTGAAAATAATAACATTCTTCTGTAACAATGATTTTCTTGGGTTCTATTCACAGCTTATTTCTAAAAGTTGAAGAAAAGTTATTTCACACTATTAATATAATTTATAATGAATCTCTTTTCAGTGATGTCCTGAATTGAATACACTGTTTCTTAGATTCCCTGTCTTCTAATTACTTTTAAAAAAAGTCAAATGGCTCAGCCAGCATGGCTCAGTGGTTAAGCTTCGAACTATGCACCAGGAGGACACAGATGGATTCCTCATCAGGTCACATGCCCAGGTTGCAGTCTTGATCCCCAGTGCGGGGTGTGCAGGAAGCAGCCAATTAATGATTCTCTTTCATCATGTCTCTCTCTGTCTCTTTCTCCCCATAGCTCTCTCTCTCTGTCTGTCTCTCCCTCTTCTTTCCTCTCTGAAATCAATGAAATAATGATTTCAATAAAATCAATAAAAATATATTTAAAAAATTTTTAAAGTCAAAGGTTTTATTTAACTTACTAGAGGCCCAGTGCATGAATTCATGTATGGGTGGGGTACAGCCCCACCCGGCTCCAGTTGATCAGTCCTGTCATGGGGAGGAGGAGATGGCGGAAGGTTGGCTGGCCAGCCTGCCCCCATTGGGGTGAGGGGATCCGATTGGGGCTGGGGATGTCTTTGGGAAGGGGCTGTGGGTGGTGGGCCGGCTGGCCTGTCCCCCAAATGGGGTAGGGGAGCCAATCAGGGGTCAGCAGCCTGGGGGCCGTGGGAGATTGTCTGGTCAGCCCCACCCCTGATTGGTGTGTGTGAGGGGCATTCTGAGGTGGAGCTGGCTGGGGGGAAGGTCCGTGGGCCAATTGGGTAGTGGGGGCTGATCAGGACTGGGGCCGGCCATGGGGAGGGGCTGTGGGTTGTAGGCTGACTATCCCTGCCCCCTATTGGGATGGGAGTGGGGCAATCAGGGGTGGGGCTGACCATAGGAATGGGCTGCAGGCTGATTGGGGTGGTAGGGGCCCATTGGGAGCTGGCCTGGACAGGGGGAGGGGCTCCAGGAGGTTGGTTGGCTGGGCCCACCCCCTATTGGGGTGGGCGGCAATCAAGGGTGGGGCCAGCCCGGGGAAGGGGTTGCAGGCCATCAGAGTGGAGTGGGCCAATGGGGGCCAGGACCAGCCTGGGGATAGGGCCGCAGGGGGGTTGGCCAGCTGCTCTGCCCTTGATCAGGATGGGAGAGGCTGATCAGGAGCTGGGCCAGCCAGGAAGAGGGGCTGTGGGAGGTTGGCTGGCTGACCCACCCCCCAGTTGGGCTGGTTCACTGGTCGCAGTGTGCATCATAGTGACCAGTCATTCCAGTGGTTTTGGCGTTCTGGTCGCTGGCCTTTTATATATATAGATTAGCTAATGAGAGAACTAGTATGATACACTAGGTACAGTAGTCTCTCTTATCCATGGTTTCATTTTCTGCAGTTTCAGTTACCTGCAGTCAACTATGGTCTGAAAATATTAAGTTGAAAATTTCATAAATAAGCAATTCAAAAAATATTTGTGAGAGAGAAGTGAGAGAAACCACATTCACATAGCTTCTATTATAGTAACTATACATAAATAGAAGAATATGCAAATTGCCCAGGACGCTGTCATGTAATGACCGTTCAGCAGGCTGCATCCCTGCCCCCTGCTCAGGCAGCTGCGAGGCCCGGGGTATGTAGGATACAATACAATAGGAGGGGATAAGAAAGGAGAGGGAGAGGAAGGCAGGCCTGCATGCAGACAGGCCAAGAGGATAAACAGAAATACAGAAAGAGAACAAGAAAAAGGTGCAGGAATGGAAAAGCGAAGGAAACCTGGGGCTGCATGCAGGAGAGGGTGGCGACCGTGGGGGCGCAGAGCAGCTGCACCCAGTGAGGGGTGGGGCACACACGGCATGGAGTGGGGAGCCCTGCCCAGATTCAGGAGGAGGGCGGTGGCCCCTGGCATGAGCTGCTGGGACAGAGGGATGGATGGTCTGAGGCCTTATGGGTGGAGGCGCTCGCAGCGTCTGGGCTGCCCGGGCCTTGTCCACTCTTTCTGGGCCAGGCACCCCACACTGGGAGGGGAGGCTCAGCTTAGCTGGGTTGGAGTCGGACACTAAGGAGGGTACTGCTTTTGTCCCTGAAGGCTGGACCCCAAAGACACTGGCCAGGGTTAAGTTGGTGTTAAGT